TACTCCAAGAAACACTGGGTATGTGGAGCCTTGCGGACTTCGAAGACATTACTGTGACAGAGTTGAGTAGCACCAATTACAGGAAACCCTTACAGGGAGCTTATATTGTGTACAGCACTGTATCATTCATTTAAATGCATATACTGGGGCTGGAGAGACGGCTCAGCGGTTAAGAGCACTGACTGCTCTTGCAGAGGACCCGCCTTCGATTCTCAGCACCCACATGGCGGCTGCGAACCGTCCTTAACTCCAGTTCCAGGGGAATCCAAAGCCCTCTTCTGACCTCCACAACATTGCATGACGCAAGTGCACTCACATACATGGAGGCAATACATGCATACACATAAAATTAAAAAATTAAATTTTAAAAAATTAAAAAAAAATATTAAAAAATAAATCATACTGTTTTCTTCTGTGTGTGTGAGTGTGTGTGTGTGGGGTGCATGCTGACCCATATGTGTGTGTGCAGGCATTCATACATGTGTATGCCCTTGTGTGGGCAAGCCAGAGAGCAGCCTTGGTCTTTGTACCTCAGGCATGATCCACCTTTTTTATTCTGAGGCAGGTCTCTCATTGGTCTGGAACTCACCAAATAGGCTAGCTCAGCAAGTGGAGTCCTAGGATCCTCCTGTCTTTGACTCCCCGGAGCTGGGATTGCAAGTGTGTGCTATCATGCCTGGCTTATTTTACATTGGCTCTGGGGGTTAAACTCAGGTCCTCAGGTTTACCAGGCAAGCACTTTACTGCGCTATATCCCTAGCGCCTGTAGTCTTCGTGGAAACGTAGAGGCATAAAAACACAAATGACTTTCTTGAGAACAGACAGGGTTAATAATCAATAGAGGAAATTTGTGATGCTTATAGATTTACCTGAAGTTTCAGAGAACATGGGAGCTCTTGTAACCCTTTTTCCAGTGTGTCCTAAGATTAAGACTGAATAAAATTATATATAATTTTACAACATATTGGTATTTCTATTTCCCCTGTTCTAGTCTATACTTTTGTGTATTTTTGTGTGTAGCTCCATACATTTTTTATCATCTTGTGTCATTTTGACAGTTTCTTTTGCTTATTTATTTTTCTTGCAGTACTAAGTGTCCAGCCCAGGGTGTTGGGTGTGTGAAGCAACCCGTGTTCCCACCTCAGCTATCTCTAAACTACATTTCTAACCTTTGACTTTCTGAGACTTGTCCTCACGGTTCAGGCTGGCCTTACTGGCCTGGGCAGCCTGCGTGGTTCAAAATCAAATCATATGCAATCCAGGCTGGCCTTGAACTCTTTACCACCCCCTCCCTCAGCCTCCCTAGTGCTGGGATTACAGGTGTCTGTTACCACACTTGCTGTATAGAATGATCAGGCTACTGGTCACTATCCCTTTTTAAAGAGCATTAATCTATTCATGAGACCTCCATCCTCATGAATGAATCATGCCCCAAAGGCCCATCTCCAAATACAATCCTACTGGGGTCAGAGGTTCTGAATTTGAAGATTTTACTTTTAATTGTGTGTGTGTGTGTGTGTGTGTGTCTGTGTCTGTGTGTGCGTGTGAGGGGGTATGTGAATGAAGGTCAGAAGTGGGCACTGGGAACCAAACTTTGTGAGAGCAGTATGTGTTCTTAGCTGCCGAGACATCCCTCAAGCCCCAAATTTCAACATTTGAGTTTTAGGGACCATAGTTCAGTCTATAGCTCTTCCACTTTGAAGATAAATGTTGGCGTGTTCCTTTATCTATAGGTTAGTTTGTATTTTTTAGAATTTTACATAAATGCAACCATAATAAATAGTCCACACACTCTGTTCTTTGGCTCTTTCATGCACCACAACCACTTGAGACCTCCATGTGGCTACGTACATCGAGTTGGTTCCTTTTGGGAGTGGAGTTCTATTTCACTGTATAGCTGTACCACAGTTTACCCATCCAACCCATGGATCTTCTTTGGCCAGGGAAATTTTTCACAATCCTGGGAGCCATGATGTTCTGGGTTCCGACTTCCTGGGTACTGCAAGAGTTGTTCTTGGTGCTGTTAGAACTCACTGTTTCCACTCCTCCACAGCACCAGTGTCTCCCTACTTGGAATGTACCTCGATCAATTTCCCAGGACAAACCAACTGGTGTAAATCCACAGAAGCTTATTTTTTCATAGTTCTAGAGGCCGGAAGCCTGAAGCAAGGGGCCTGTGCATCTTCTGAAGTCTCTAGGAGAAAGTTTCCCTCTTCCCTCTTCTCACAGCTGTAGATGTTCCGGGGCTTCTCCCAGCAGACCCTGAATCTGTGCTTCTGTTTTCACAGCCTCCCTGTTGTGCCTCTAAATGTCCTTTCCTCTGCTCTCTCATAAGAACACCCATCAGTAGACTTAGGGCCCATTCTATTTTTATTTATTAGTTATCCATTTGTCTGTTTATGTATGTGTACCATTGATGTGTGGTGTACATGTTTGTGTGTGTGTATGTATTTGCAGTGCTAGTACATGTGTACGTGTGTGCATGTGAAGTCCAGAGATGGATGTTAAGAGTCTTTGTCAATTGCTCTCTACCTTTTTTTTTTTTTGTGAGGCAGGGTCTGTCACTGAACCCAGAGCTCATCGATTCAGCTGACTGGCTGGCCAATTAGCCCCCAGGATCTGCCCATCTCTGCTTCCCCAGTGCTGAGATTACAGACACTTGGCTTTAACTTGGTGATGGGGATTAAATTCAGGTGCTTATGCTTGTGTGGTAAGCACTTCACCAACTGAGCCATCTCCTCAGCCCTTTGAGACCCACTCGAATCCAGAATGATCTTATCTAGTGAGCATTACATCTTAATCACATCTTCAAGGACCCTCATTCCAAACAGATCACTCATGTTTTCCTGGTTTCCTTTGAGTCCACCTTCCATAACTCCTTCCTTACAACTGGCCCAGCTTAAGGCTCAGTTTCTTTCTTTCTTTGTTCAAAATTATTTATTCAATAACCACATAATTAGAATAAGCATTTTATTACAACAGCATTGACATATTCAATAACAATTTCCAGAGCTAAGATGCATCTCTTTCAAAATTGGCTGTAAATTTTTAGGTTTACAGTTGAATTAATATAGCTATACAATATTGTACTCAGTATAAATCCTAAAAGACATAAAATTGAATGAGGTTTTAACTTTTATAAAAGATCTCCATTTCATTATTAAAATATATTCTTTCATACAGAAAAACTCATTTTAATGCAACTAACACTTAGATGTTTACACATGCATCTCTAATCTCTCTATATATGATTATTACTAGTCACAGTTGGTTACTTTCTGAGCTCCTTGGCACCTGAGCATGGATATAAAATCATCAGGTAGATTTCAATGGTAATATTTTCCATATCTACTAATTAACATGAAGCAAATTTTTATGCTTCTTCCTCAAATATAACTCATTTTTAATTTATTGATTTTTTGTGTGTATTTCATACAGAACATCCCAAACAATCTTATTCATCTATATACCCACATCCCAAGTGACACTCTCCCATCCCTCACCCCCACTCCTGGAGCCCATATACTCTGTTATCCCTGTTACTGTCCACTGTGTTGACAGTGCCCCCAGCTGTTCCCCAGTGTGTATCCATCTGCTCAGTCTAGTTAGCCTATCAATAGTTCCTTGTTTTAGGAAGATCAGCTCTTCCTCATCTAGCAGCAAGCTGTTGCCAATATTCCTTTAGATAAGATTGGGGTCTGCTGTTCATTTTCCCAGTTCTATGCTGGGTTACTGTCTGAGAGTCTCTTGGGCCACCCTGGCCAACAACTCAAAGGAAGGTATCGCCTGTCTGGCGTTGTTTCTTGTTATGTAGCCTTTAGCTATACACATGTACTCTTAAGGAGTTATATTGATCCCTTTAATCTTTGGTTATACTTTCCTTTTTGGGGTTTAAGACCATGCAGTTAGCCCAGATAAACCAATGTATTTTTACTCTTAAGGTCATTTGAGGATCTGTTCCTCAGAGGTCATATGGGCTTGGGAGGAGCCCCTGGCTCCTTTCTTTTACCAGTTCCACCTATGTGAGGATAAGTCAAAGGTCCTGCTCGACCATGGTTTGCTTCGCTTGGAAGCATGGAGGAAATGATTCGTCTGTGTTGACCCTCCTTTTTATAGACTGGACACTGGTTCAAGTCCATCTGGTGGGGTCTCCGTGGCCTGCCTCCTTGATCAACAGGACAGGTGACTCACCACAGTTACAGGACATTTTGAAAGATGCTCCATAGTCCCCTGGAACTTAGTCAACCTTGGAGGGCAAGGAGCAAAAACTGTCCTTTAAGTCCCTCTGACCAAATTAGTATAGGTCTCAAAGTATGGCTGTTAAACATCCAAGAAGGTTAGTTCCACCAGTCTAGTACTTTTAATTACCATGTGCTATGTAGATAAAGCTTGGGCAAAGACCAAATGTTCTCGGGTAAGCCTTGCCTAGACATATATTATGGTCTTAAGGCTCAGTCACACATTAGCTCCTAAGCTAAGTGTGATTTGGGTGGGATAATGAACATCAGCCCAAATTAAGATATTTCCTATGCCTCCTTCCAAGGATGCTCCAGGATTCCCTGTGCGATGTGTCAATTCCTCATTGCAAATAGTATAGAGTGCTGTGGTGGGTTGAATAGTGTCCCCCTCCCCAGACACATTACCTGGAAACTGAGAAGGAAGGTTGCTAAAGGTGAAGGTCATGAGCCGCTGAGCAGGTGCTGTTAATCTACCTCAGTCACATGCCATTTAGAAGGGAGGTGAGCAGGAGCCTTCATCTTGGCTAGTGATGACATCAGTGATCGAGGCACTGAGGGAAGCGGGAGCTAATGGACTCACACAGTAATAGTGACCAAGAATATGAAGTTCTCAGGACCCCGTCTGTCTCTTCCCTGGCAGCTCAGGACCCTGTCTGTGCCCGTCTTGGTCGCGGCTGATACCGGATCCTGTCATACAGTTAGGTACTGGCTGAATGAACGAAGAATATCAAACCTGACCTTTTTGTCCTATTATTTCTACAGCTGAGGTCCCAATACAAATGATGGCAGCCTACAGTTCTACCAAGGCAGCTCTGACCATGTTTTCATCCATCTTGAGACAAGAGCTCTTCAAATGGGGAGTCAAAGTTGCCATCATCGAACCCGGAGGCTTCAGTACAAGTAGGTGTCTGAGCCCAAGAGTTCTGTAACATTAGCCTCAGAGGGAACCCTGTCTGCTATGACATAACGTGAAGTCTGCAGTGTTGACAGAGATGGACGCTGCCAGGCATTACTCCTGAGAACATTTTTTATTCAGTATTCAAGAAGAGCTGAGCTCTATGCTGATTTGAGTTGTGGGATATCTTGGTTACTTCTAGTTTGACGAAATTATGAACAGATGGTATGTATACTGAGTTTTTTGTGTGCGTGAATTCTAGAACTTTCAGCCGGGAGTGAAGTGATTAGATCACAGAGTTTTCCTACCTTCAACTTGACCGGGAAATACTGTTCTCTAAAATACTATTCTAATTTGTACATTATATACCCCCCATACACACATATAAAAAAGATTTATGTGTATCATTTTTAAAGTTATGTGTCCGTGTGTGGTTGTGTGCATGTGAGTATGAGTACCCAAGGAGGCCAGACATGTTGGCTCCCCTGGAGCTGACGTTACAGGCAGTTGTGACCTATTTGGCATAAACCCTAGGAACTGAACTTGGGTCCTCTGGAAGGGCAACATGTTTTAGCTGCTGATCCATCTCCCTAGCTCTACTTTTGTGGTTTTGAGATGGATTCTAGGCTGGCCTTGAACTCTCTACCTAGCTGGTGATGACCTTGAACTCCTATTTCTCCTGCCTCTACCTCCCAAATGCTGAGATTTCAGGCCAACACTACTAAACTCTCTCTCTCTCTCTCTCTCTCTCT